AAGGCTTACCAAAACAAAGTTACTGGGTTAATCTTTTTCACGTTTCCTTGGTTGGTAGATGCACCGGGGACCTGATTATAGCACTTAAAACCTGGAAAAGTCCGATTTTCATGATATGTCACCTTTAAGACCTGATGCATGGATCCAATATTATATAATGATACTCATCCGATTTGTTCAACCCCTATGACCAGCCCTATCTGATAATAATTTACTGTTTTCTCCACTGATCTCTCCCTCTTCTATGCTTTCTCAGAATGATCGAGGGAAAGCTCAAAAAGCCATGGAGGCCACCTGGAACACCATGGAGAAGAAAGAGAAGATCATGTGGATCAAGAAGGCTGCAGAGGACCAGAAGAGATATGAAGTGAGTCCAGACAAATCCAGACATTTTGTGGCATTAATGTCCGACTGCCTTAAGTAAAGTAGCCTTTTTTTTTGTAATCTTTTTTTTTTTATCTTCTGTCTTGTGCAGAGAGAGCTGAGTGAGATGCGATCGCCTGCCCCAGTCATCATCCCTGGGAAGAAAATGAAATTTGATGGGGAACCTAAGAAACCACCCTCGTAAGTTTGTTATTGTGTGTGTGTGTGTGTGTGTGTGAGTGTGTGTGTGTGTGTGTGTGTGTGTGTGTGTTTGTTGGTTTATCTACAATTATTACACCTCTACAAGGAAAAAGTCGTTGGTGTGTTTGAGGCAGCTCACTTGTCTTACCTTCCCACTCTTTCTGTTCATGCTCTCTTCACCTGTGACTTCAGGAATGGTTATCAGAAGTTCTCTCAGGAGATGCTGTCAAACGGCGAGCTGAATCATCTGCCCATGAAAGAGCGCATGGGTGAAATCGGAGGCCGCTGGCAGCGGCTCTCTCAGAAAGAGAAGGACCGTTACAAAAGGCTGGCAGAAGAGAAACAGAGGCAGTACAAAGTGCTGCTTGAGAAGTGGCTTGCGGTACATATCTTTACTGTTATTTAATCTGTTCAACACTTGCGCAAATAGCTTATTCTAATATATTACAATAGTAATAAATAGTTCTTTTTTTTTTTTTTTACTTCACAGAGTTTATCATCACAAGAGAAAGCTACATACAAAGAATATAATTCTCTGGTGAGTCATAAATTTGGGTCTACTCAGTATTGAAGTCTAATCAAAAGAGTACTCGGTGCTCTTGTCAAAATAGACTTGAATTATATACCATAACGGTTTTTAAATGTTTCTCAAATCAATATTTTTTAAATTTTTATTTAAAATGGTGATATTTAATAATTTAAAAACATTAAATAATTAAATATTTAATTTCAATATATTAGTTTTTTTTGTAACACTTTCTGCCTGACGTTCTGCCTGTTTAATGTTTTTTCTTAAACTTTTCTGCAGAAACGGAGGAGCACATCAAAACCAGGTGCCACTGCTGCTAAAGTGAAACCCAAGGCCAAACAATCGGCGAGTTTGATCATACATAAATCATTTAGCATTTATTAGCCTCTATGTACATTTTTAGCACAATGTACTGATTGATTGTTCTGTATCAATTGTGACCTTGTCCAAAGGATGAGGAAGAGGAAGAGGAGGAGGATGATGATGAAGATGACGATGATGAAGAGAAGGAATCTGATGACGGATCATCCTCTGATGACAGTGATGATGATGACGATGACGAAGATGATGTAAGATTTATAGCATGTTGTTCACATTTTGTCACACATATTTTAAAACTTTCTTGCTGATATAGGATCAGCCTTTGATTTTGCAATATTGATTTTGATTAGCAATACGGAGTGCAGCAGTCGGGTTCCAGAAAAGTCCTGTTCGTTTTCTCCATAGGGGGATTTCATTTTTAATGACAACTGATAAACTTTATCAGACCTCGAATGAAATGAATGAAAAATAATCTTTCCAAATTCACTTCCAGAATGAAGACGTAGAGGATGAAGAGGTTGAGGATAAAGAGAATAAGTCAGAAAGCAGCAGCAGCGCTTCCAGCTCTGACGATTCCTCAGGTTCAGACTCCGATTGAGCCGGAGCAGAGTCAGGCTGAGCCCACAGACTGCCAGAAATGCTGTGAACTGAGCCATGAGCCGGGGGTCTGAGCCTGCTCTGCACTGCGCTCTTCTCACCACAGGAGGGGGCTCACCCCGCTGTCACACATCTGCGCCACCTCTCACACACTCTTTCCTTTGCTTCTCTTCTCTTCTGTTCTCCCCTGCACTTCTGCTTTTATTTTTTTCCTCCCTCTATGAATCCGCTTGGCAGGTTTTAAGGCATTTTAGGCAAGGTGTATGAGGATGTATAGTCTAAATTCCTCCCAACACCGAAAAGGGTGCAGTGCTCTGCTATTGGCTTGTAGTAGTCATGAGGCGTTATTAGGACGCCCTGTGTTTATATGTTAAATGTAGGAGGACACAGAGAGCACCATGTTCCATTTTCTTTTCCGTAAATGAGCCAAAGAGTCTCTTAGTTTTCACAGATTATTTCGGGAGGTACAGGGGACCAAATAACTGCACTCTGAAGAATGTTTGCTTTCTTTTCTTCTGTCTGTGCCTCTCCTGTTCTTCCTAGTAGCGTTGTTCCTCTCCCTTTCCTGCTCCCTCCATTTTTGCTTTGGTGTTTGTGTTTGCTTCTTCGGTTCAAAACAAATGTATTTTCAGGAACAATGAAGCCATTTTGAATGTGGCCGCATGGACCCCGCTGGTCTCGCACGCGGTTCTTGTTCACCAGGCATTTGTGCGCTGCCCTTACCTGCACCTGACGAGGGGTTAAAGGTGAAAATGGACTATTTATTTTTGTCCTGTTGTAGGAATGCTGCCTGTAGCTGTTTCGCCACAGCTGATGGGTTTGAGTTCGCTGTTCATTCAGATAATAAAACCGACTGATGTTACATAATGAGGTCTAGTTTATCAGTTAATTGTTTGGCAGCACAAGCAAAGTTCTTGCAGAAGTATGCTCGTTTTGTTTTGTTTTTTTTTTGTGTATGGGGCACCAACATGTTTTTCTTCTGTTTGTTAATAATAGATATGTATTTTTTGAAGCTGACGTTTTGTTCCTCTTTCCAACCACTGTTTTATTTGGTGCTCCAAAGAACTGTTTTTCTTTTGAAAATGATATGTTTTAAATATGATGGATGTGAGTTACCCCACAATTCAGTGCACTTATGATGGAGTCGCTAGCTCACAAACCTAGTGTTTTTTTCAGTATTCCTCTTTCTGCGTTTCACTCATTAGCCCATAATGTCTACCACTTCACAGGTCTTTCACGCACCAGCTCAAGGAATGTAATGGAGATGTTTTATTTAAGAGAGGGGTACCGTTATTTGTTATGTGTTTATGTATATATGAACCGTTTTGAGGGTGACTGGTATATTCTCTCATTCCAATGCCCTGGCCTGAAATGGCAACTAAATTTAGTTAAACCCACAACCCAGCTTCCTCCGCAGAGCTACCAACTTTTACTCCCTAGTGATTTTTCCCTCTATCAAAACTTTGAACCTTGATCATTTGCATGTAAAGACAAGCAAATAAGTTGGGGGGGTCAAAACAGATCTGGATGCTGTAATTTCTGTACCAGACATGTGACCTTTATTCTAGGCATCCAAAGTAATCAAGGTCTGTATCATGCGAAAATTTGTGTTCTTGGCTCAGTTTGAAAAACATAATTTGGTTATAGATGTTTTGATTGATGGGCCGGGATAAGAAACCCAGTGGACCTTTCAAGATTTGTTGATATTTTATAGGATTTTGAGACTTGCAAATAGATTTGGGTTGGGTTCAGTGCTGTTGTAAGGTATTTGTACATATAGCTTTCTTTTAATTTCCTTTGTAATTAGTGAACATTATTGCGTTTGTATTTTCAATTGGCTAAGCATTAAGCAATATGCTGCTGTAGCCAAAATGAGTTTGTTCGTCAATTGGGGACATGTTTTTAATTTGGTAAGTTTTAGTTTTTTACCCCTTCCCATGTTTGTTTATTTGTAGAAATTACAAAAAAAGAGAGAAAGCTTAAATTTGTACTACAGGTTTGAAACATTTGGACGTTTTCTATAGCAAGAGATGTGATATCCCTGCAATTTACAATTTGAGCAAATAAACCTTCTCTTAAACAGTTTTTGTATTTGTCTTTGTGTTCCGTACCCACTGTATATATATATATATATATATATATATGTATGTGCTAATAATTTCATTTATTAGCATTTAAATACTTATATAATTGCTATGTTGATGTGACTGACTCGCCATATGTTTATCTGTGTGTGTGTGTGTGTGTGTGTGTGTATATCTCGGTGTGCGTATGTTTATATGTAAATATGAAATTGGAACGAATTCAAGGCAGCTCAATCGATGTGTCACCCAAGATCGGCAATAGACTAGTGATGTCTAACCGGAGCCAAAATGGCAGCGTTGTTGTGTTTTCCAACATCATCTGTACTCAAACGACTTATCCAACCAGGCATCTAATCATTTTTGTAACATAGTATTTTCATATGTACGATCGTTTTGAGCATGTTTGTTCTATGTTGTCGTTAAACAAGAGAACAGCGGGTCCGTGAATGACAAGACCCGGCCCGTTCAGTCTTGGTAAGTAGAGATACAATTTAAACAAGAGCGCAACAAATATGCTTCTTTTTTTGCGCGCGGCGTCAGGTAGTACTTTGTAACACATATTTCTGCGGTTTTGAAACAGTGTTCCTGCACCCGCCCATATGGGAAGTTATATGACCAAGAAAACGGCAGTGTCACAGTCGTGCCTGTCAGCTATGTTTACAATGACAGTGTGTACATGTGTGTTCAACAGTTTTATTAGGTTTAAATATACACTGGTTATTAATTACTGGAAATTGGTTATCTTATTTGATTGCTGTTTTGCTGAATAAGTGCTTTGCCCGCCCATTTTCATAGTGTTCCCGTTATATCAGCTAGCTGAACATGATAAATAATTTATAAATCTGACACACGTTATAAAATGGACCTTATAGCCTAGAAAATGGTTTTTAATTTTAAGAAAGAAAATTTAGTTGATGACAAATAATTAACAATATGAACAAATGTGGCTGTAAATGACTGTTTAAAATGTTTTCAGATGTTCACTAATTATTTTGAAATGCTGAATCTCTTATTACATTTATTCCGTTTTTAATTAAAAAGGGATACTTTTATCTTTAGATAGTAGGATGACCATACTATGATATCCCATTTGACTATGATGTAATGTGCCTTTGTTTGTTTTGTGTATTTCAGTGTTTACCACCCCTTTCTGCATTGTCGACAATGATAGCTCTCCTACAATAGTTGTTGCAAATGAAAATGGAGGATATGTCTTTGTCAGGCCTGGATAACACCAAGCTAGAGGTAAAGGGTAGCAGATAATGAGTTTAATTTATGAAACATACAGACGAGTATATATCTGCTTTTGTTGTTCTTGTAAATGTTGTGTTCATATAAATGCATCTGTTTACGTAAGAATTGTTTTATGCAGGCTCACAAAGTAGCCTGTATCATAGACCAATAAGGTACATGATTTCATATGATCAGTTTAACTCAAATGATTTAACTTCTCTCGCAAAACTTCTCCTTTGTTGTAGGCCTTGGCTCATGACGTATACTCTGACCTAGTGGAAGATGCCTGTTTGGGGTTGTGCTTTGAGGTGCACAGGGCGGTCAAACAGGGCTATTTCTTCCTGGATGAAACGGACCAAGAAAGTATAAAGGATTTTGGTGAGTCAGTCATAAAAAATAAACAAATGCATTATTTCTAAAGCCTAGGTTGCATGGTTTTAAAATGTGTCTGTGCTTCATGCTCCCTCTGATGTAGAAATAGTGGACCAGCCTGGTGTGGACATCTTTGGGCAGGTGTACAACCAGTGGAAGAATAAGGAGTGTGTGTGTCCCAACTGCAGCCGGAGTATTGCAGCCTCTCGCTTTGCTCCTCATCTGGAGAAGTGTCTCGGCATGGGCCGCAACAGCAGCCGAATAGCCAACCGCAGGTCAGTGGGCTGTGAGCTCTCACCATTTAGTTCACTTCAAATTAAATGACTTTACCTTTTTCTCACTAAATACACTGACATTATTCGGTGAAGGGAATGCTTAAAGGAACACTCCACTATTTTTGAAAATAGGCTCATTTTCCAACTCCCCTAGAGTTAAACAGCTGAGTTTTACCATTTTCGAATCCATTCAGTCGATCTCCGGGTCTGGCGGTAGCACTTTTAGCTGTAGCTTAGCATAGATCATTGAATCTGATTAGACCGTTAGCATCTCGCTCAAAAATGACCAAAGAGTTTCGATATTTTTCCTATTTAAAACTTGACTCTTCTGTAGTTACATCGTGTACTAAGACCGACGGAAAATGAAAAGTTGCGATTTTCTAGGCCGATATGTCTAGGAACTATGCTCTCATTCCGGCGTAATAATCAAGGAACTTTGCTGCTGTACCATGGGTGCAGCAGGCGCAATGATATTACGCAGTGCCTGAAAATAGTCCCCAGCTAGGTATCTTCCAATAAGCCTATTTTCAGGCGCTGCGTAATATCATTTTACGCAGTTTTAAATAGGAAAAATATCGAAACTCTTTGGTCATTTTTGAGCGAGATGCTAACGGTCTAATCCGATTCAATGATCTATGCTAAGCTAAGCTAAAAGTGCTACCGCCAGACCCGGAGAACGGCTGAATGGATTCGAAAACGGTAAAATTAGCCTATTTATAAAAATAGTGGAGTGTTCCTTTAAGCAGACCAATGTTAACACCATCAATAAAACCATTCAGGGTGCTGATCACCATAGTTCTCTTCAGTTTAAAAGTTATTTAATTGAAAAATTTTCCATAGATTTGTATCTACATCGGTAATGTTTTTTTTTTTTTTTTT